GACGTTAAAAATAATTGAAATTCCTAAAATAATCACATCAATCAGAACTTTGGTTCTAGAGTTATCGTGCCGGCATACATACATACATACAGGCGACCAGACGGATTCAGAATGATCAGAAACATGAAAAAAAGTTTTAAAAAATGGGGGTCAGAAAATTTTTTCGTCTGCACGAATGCAATACTGAGGCCCCATAGGAAGGGCCTCAGTAATAAATCGATTAGCAAAGTAATACCACGCAGTCGTGGCTTGCTTTGTTTTATATTTTTAAATAAAATTACAACTTTTATGAAATTTTTAATAAGATATAGATATATGGTAGTAGTTTTGTTTCAAAAAATATTGTATAAACTTGGGACGTGAAGAAATCTTCCACGCATTCGGGTAACTTAAAGCGTTCGCTCCTTCGTCGCTCGACTTTTAAATCCGCTTATGCACGAACATGGTCTTTCCTCACAAGTAACTATTACAAATTAAGCGCGATATTTTGAATATAAAATATTTAATAGTAGAGAAAAAATGGGTACGCCTATGCATATCGAAGCGTATCGGATATTCAATTCATATTAGATGGATGTGGTGTTGTGTATATTTACTTATATATTACTTTTTCACTGTTTTTATGTATACTTTTTATCGTTCAATTGAATAAAGAATATAGCATTAGTCTTCTACTACTACTTATGACATCCCAAACAATATCTAGCCTTGAAACAGCCTAAATAGGCTTAACTTTTGGAGACACTAGAAATCCATCTAAATTCACCGAAATTATTTCAAGGAAATGTTTCCTTTGTACTTATTATCATAGTTTCGCGCAAATCGGATTAAGTACCATTTTATCTAGCACTCATAAATTTTGCCAGCGATCTAAATTAACTGTATTTAATTACGATATTTCAATTATTGATAATATAGATATGGTTTCGTTTTTTGTTAAGTGCATATAACTAGTTGAAATGTTATTTAGTTCACATTAATAGTAAGTTTTTAATTATTATTTTTATACAAAATGATATATTAAATATTAATAAGTATATTAAAAATAAAATAAATATTACAAAATCATTTTGGTCACAGTATTTTACTGATTTTTTTTTTAATTTGCTACTAGTTTTGATGCCTGAAAAGAATAATAAAAAATAACTACAAAAAAAACAGATACTAAAATGAAATTAAAAAACGGTGATAATTTATATAAAAAAAATTGCATAATAAAATACGAAATATACTTTTTTGAAATCGAAAAATAATATTGTATTTAACACGTTAAGTGCCACTATTTAAGACCATGCTTTTGTTGTTTCACTTCATTTTATTAAATTGGTTAATTAAATATGTACCTTCTTTAAATAATTACTAAATGTAAAATAGCTTTAAATGTGCGTGGCTTAAATTGTATCACCATTTTAAGAACTATAATACCCACTAGTGCTCTATACCCAGTCACACTACCTCTAACCTAATATATTCGATACTTTTCAACCAATATAATCATGTAATCAAGCGGCAATGTCTTTTGAATTTGTAGGTACCTACACCACTGACTTCAAAGAAACAAGGACGTTATTTATATGGGAAAATGACGTGCGAAAAGAATACAACAGTAATGCTTCAATATTTTAATAATTCTACGAGCATTTAGCATGTCTGTCGTTATTATAAAATGTTTAATATGCAGATTTGTATCTCAAGCGCTAAGCACTTTGACGGATATAGAAAGGATAATTACGTCAAAGGGAAATGCAAACCAGCATAAGAGAGAAAATTAAAAATGATTTGTTTCTTAAAGAATTTATTTTACTTTTAGTAATAAATAAAAATTTCGTATAGAAACTAAATTTATCTTATAATGCATTGTGTTTTCGATTTTTAATGTATTGATTTTAAGCTAGACAGCATTTTATACTTTTTCTGGATATTAGCTTTTCTAAGCCATTGTGTTCAACTGAACGAATATATTTTATAACCTTCCTACCTACGGATATGAAATCCATCGATTACAATTCATATTTGGTCACCAGGCTACTATTATGTTTTAAAATTTTAAATAACTGACAATTATGTCAAACTAATTGTCAGTATATTTTTTAGTTATTGAGATAAAATAAATAAATTTTAACAAAACCATATAAAATCAATTTAATTATGAGTATTAATATGTCGCTTAGATTAACGTAATAAGTTGCCATGCGAAAGGTCGGGGTTTCGTTAGTGAGTCGTAGAAAAAATATACTGTACAACTCGAGTGGATTGTCCGTATCGCACTCAGATGTTTCAGCACTCCGTCTACGGCGTCGTGCTTAAACTTCGCCTTTGTGCGATATGGGCATCATATCCACTCTTGTTGCACAAACTACTATTTCAATTTTACCTATAGAGGTTAGAACTGAAAAAAAAAATGGCTTTGGTATACCTATAAAAAATAATTTTTCCTACGACCACTTAGGAAAGTGACACATATCACACTATATAGACCTATGGAAAGTGCCCTATATCACACGCGTATGAATAAGAATTTACTTTCCACCCAAGTGAGAATATGCTACTTTCCGCAGTAGCTGTCAGAAAATGTCAAACACATAATTTCTATTTTGATCTATGTAATGTCCATATTAATACTAAAATCGATATGATTGTTAAATTATTGTAAATTAGATCCTAGATATTTATCTTTAACAATTATTTTTAAAATAATTTTAAAATAACTAAGATATATTTGCTTTTTATTCTGGTTAAACACATAAGCGATTAGATCAATCAATTACCGTAAGGCCTGTTAGCTCAGTTGGTTAGAGCATCAACTTTGCAATTTGAGACCGTCCAACGACCGCGATCGAATCCTGGCTGTGCCAGAATTTTTTTTTTATTTTTTTTTTGTTTTTTTTTATTTGTTTAGAAATTATGAAAATTTAATAAATACGATTATTGTTGATTATTTTTTTAAATACATTTTAATTATTATAATAATCTGGTTTTACATTTTTTGATGAAATTATTTTGTGGTCGTAGGAAAAATATTGTACAGCACTTGTGTGAAAAGTGATTTTCCACACTCGTGTGATAGTCGCACTCGGCTTACGCCTCGTGCGACAATATTTCCCACTCGTGTGAAAAATGTCACTTTCCACACTCGTAATGTAATATACTATATTTGAAAAATTATAAAACTTATTAATATTTTAAACTCGACATTGACTCCAGTCCGAGGGGTGAACCACCCCCCAAAATACTGATACAAATTTTCTGGAAATTTCCGAAATCAAGGGAAGAGTCCAAAAAAAGGTCATCGTATAAAATTAAGGGGGATTTTCGGCTAACTCACCGAAATCATATAAAATCAATTTTAGGTGATTTCCGAAATACGGGTACGTTTTGACGTCAGTGGTTTCCCACTTCCTTCTGCCATATCCATTTTACTGTAAAAAAAGAAACCGTATGTTAAATTAAATCATTCTTTGAGGATGTTTGTGATATATATTATAAATGTTAATGTCATAAAGTGAAATAAAATTTGTAGTTTAACATGCGAGGGGTAAACCACTAAAGTCAAAACGTACCTAAAGTTCGTATGATTTCTTTGATTCTCCTTAATTTTTTACGATTTCGGTGAGTTTGCCGAATTCTCCCTTAGTTTATACAATTTCAGTGATTTCGGTGAAATATGATTTATCTATAAATTGTCTTCTTGAATATTCAAATGACCTCTTCTTTTTGAAAGCTCTTTATTTTTTATTTGATCGACCTTTTTTTACCTTTTCCTTGTCTTTTGATCAACAAGCTGCTGCGTTTATAGTTCTGAGCAACAAATTGATTTTCCAAATTGTGGACACCACACCTTTCCATATTAGGTACATCGCCATTTTAATTTTTGTTAACAGATTCAAACATTACCACCAACACTAGTTCAATTTGCTAAATAGGAACAAAACGATTCTGTTATGCTTAAACATATGTTCTGTATAAAAAATTGGTAGTTGATACTTCTCTTGTGCATTAATATTATTAATACACCCTGTAAAATATTCGATTTTACGAAAAAATTAGAAAAACTTGTGAGTCGGCATGCGTTGCATTTAGCATTAACTATTGGGGAAAAATAACTTGGAAAAAATGAACTACGTTTGGATGCGACTTGCGCGGCGTTATCAAAGCTTGTTAAAATAAATTAATGGTATTCCATTTTAGGAACATTCCATATTTGGCTATAATCCTCTACATTAAATTTTATTTTCCATAAAAATAAAAAATAATTTTTGAATTTAAAAATATGTATGCGACAATAATTTCAAAATTATCTACTTTTGCTAAATATACAATTGCCTGATAACACGTATTCGTAAATCGCCGATGTATTAGTCTAACACCTCGAGATTTTACGAGACTGTTATTCTCGATACCGAACTAATACGAGTATCTAACGTGTCGGCGGTTTCCGAATATGCATCCTGGACAGCATCATATGATATACCCGGATACTATAATTACTAAGAAGTAATAATTACTATTATTTGCCTGTAATAAGCACTACAATAACAGAATATAAGCATATCGTGCAATTAGTTACATTTAGGATGATATAACTCGGAACAGACAAGTAATTGAGATGAGTCGTAATGAAGAGCAATGTTCTCTTTAAAAATATTTTTCAATTGCTATAATTTATAACTTATCCTTATTGGGGGGTGGGGCAATTTCCCATACATTTCTGCCCATTGTCCTTTGGACATTAGAAGTTATTATCTGAAAAATATCAAAATAAAGTATCACTGTGCATGATAACCAAAACATTTTTGGAAAGGAAAAATAATACTTTTTGCTGGTACTTAAGAAAATGTTTACAGTGTTCCATTGTAACAAAGTATTTTAGTATTTTTTAAAAATCTGATGTGTACTCAATAGCCTCCGTATGTTATTATTTTTATTGTACAAAACTAACATGTTGTTAGTTAACTAAATATTTTTCAAATTAAAATTATTTTTTTTATTTATTTGTACAGGTTTTCAATGAGATGTCGTCACTGAGGTTGCTGTTTTACAGAATCTTCTTATTTTTATCGACCTAACTGGTAAGTTTCAATAATATATAAAACAATGGCTTTAGATTGTTTAATTAACAAATATATATAGTCGGAGATACCTGTGTACAAGGATAATATGAGATTCAGTTATCTTGTGTAATCATACGAAGCATGTATGTACTTGATAATGCGCTTTTCGTTTGCAGTTTTTTCTTGTTTTCGGCAACCCGGGTGAGCTGTCACATAGACCTTTTATTTTTATTTTTTTCGGTTTTTGTTTAGTGTCTCATTGACTTACATTTCGTTTTAGTGTGTTAAAAATAAATTCGGTCTAAAATGAAGATTAAATATACAAGTTTTAAAAAAGGTGATTATTTTATTTTTGAATTAAATATATTTGGGAGTGGAAGTTTTGAGGGCTATAACGATATATTTTTAGGGCCGTTTTGCCCTTTTTTACGATTGGTAAGTCTTAACACTAACATATTTTGTGCGTTTGTTTTGTTTTTGTGCCTTCTTTTAGTACTCTCAAAGGTGAATAAAGAATAACATACTTAATTACCTCAGCTTTTACTACCTTACCTCATCTAACGAAATAAACAAAAGGAAGAAGGTTTAAAGGGGGTCTCTAATAAAAAAAAAGAATTACAAATTATATAAGGCTGTTTGTTTAAATCTGGGCTTCAAATGTACTTACATATTTAGCAAAATTGGATATTTTCACATCAACCGTTGCGGGAAATTTAAAAAGGTTAATTTTTTCGAACAAATGTTAATGATGTAAAACTCTTAATACGTATACATTCTTTTTTATATTTAATAAATTGTTTATAAAATAAAGATTATACGAGTATTTTTTCGTATAAACAATATAATAAATAGCTTGTCATTCCCCGAACAATGCCTCGTAAATTTTATTCGATTTTGGTAAATTTAAAAATCTATTTTGAAACGATAATTGGAGAAGATTTAATAAGCTTTAGATTAATCGGTTGAACTGTTTAGGTATTATCAATTGATTGATTCCTAATAAATCATAAGCTTGTTCATAATTAAAAAAATCTTTTAACCATAAAAATGGAAGGTTGTTACAAAATAAAAAACACAAACCCACTACAAAAACAATTCTAAACCAAACCAGAACCTCTCAGCTGGTTCACAACCTCTGATAAACAAATGACATATCGCACCTTTAATCATAAAGTGGCACAACTAAAAAATGCTAGTTTCGTAGAATCTGCCAAAAACTGTTTTATATTTGGAGCTGCCTTAGTATATTTGAACTTTGAGAAAAGTATTATGAATAAATGAAATATGAGAAAAGATTAAGCAATATTTTAAAGATGTATGTATAATTTAGTTTTTTTTTAAAGAAGAAAGGAAAAATGGTTTGACTGTTAGTAAGAAAAAAAATTCACAATTATGTCACTTTAGTAATAAAAAGATTATGTATCAATACGAAATGTGTCAATTTATGACTAAAAATTTCATAACGATTTTAGTATTATTTTGGAATAGTTCTTTTTTGGATTATATTAATAAAATATTTCAAGTAACAAAGCAAAAAATGCCTCTTTAGAAGCAAATTTGCAAAGAATGCTATTTCAAACCCTGTCACTATTGGCACACAACTAACATTATGTCGCTTTAGGTCTAAAACACCTTACAAAATCCGATAGAACTAAACTGGCGCAAATATAAATCTGCACTTCCTGGCTGACTATTTCAACGTAGGTCGGAGTTACCTCAATAGATGGTACTATTTTGGATCGTTTTATTACCATAACTCAAAATCTCCAAATTTTGATTTATGCCACTTTATGATTAAAGGTGCGATATAGATAAGTTACGGGCGCCCTTTAACATAGGCTTTGTTTGAAGACAATATCTACGAACTTTTGACCGTTGTGATCTCCATGGGCGTATCAAACAGTTTTTCATCAGAATCCAAAGGATTCTTTTGTAAATATTTTGCCAAGTACAAATTTAAAAAAAATGCAAATTTTATTTTACAAAAAAAAATTCTTCTATTTTTATTGAAATGTAATAAACGATATTTATAAAACAAAATTAGGTTTCAAATGATTACCCTGTTAATATTGTTTATAGGTAGATACCAGTGAACTGTATATTTAAAATGGAACAACAATCCCTATTGACAAAAGTAAGTCAAATTGAATTCGCGCATTATACGTCACAGGAGTATAAAAAAAATCCAATTTACTCTTCCGTGATAAGTGATTCATAAGTACTTTGACAAACTTCTTGAGTAATTTTAAGGTAAAAAGTTCATATAAACATGTGTCCGGAAATGGATGGTTTTCAAGATACAGGGTGTTTTAAGAAAAAAAATCGTTTTTTATCATATCTTTCATACCACTGAAGATAATTTAATGAAATTTGGTACACGTTGTTTTACCATAAAATGACATTTTCTGATGCTATTAACTTTTTTTTATTTTCATCAGTGGCGTCCCTACGGTATTTAAACTAAATATTATTGAAGAACAAAATGGTACGCCACTGGTTTTTTAAAAAATAAAAATTATTTTTAAAATCTACATTTAATTTGGAACAAATTTGATCTCTTGACTTTTGTTCGTAAGACGCACCGTTTTCGCGTAATTTACCCTAGGATTCGGGAAATCGATGTTGCTACCATCCAATCACTTATGAAGTACTTGACAACAAAAATACGACGGATATAAAACCATGTGCCGTTAGCTGCCTTATAACATATTATGTTAACAAATGATGTTAATCGTTAACCGTTTACCTAATTTAAGTAAAATTGAAAATAGTTAACTTGATTTTTGTTTCAAAACTTATGTTACATACGTTATTTTAATAATCTCCAAAATGATATGTGCCATAAATATTTTCTAAAAATGGGCATTTTTAAATTTACTTATTATTTTTAGCATAACTTTTTGTCTCGGAATTTAGGCACTTTTATAGATATCTTCTTTATAAATTGAATAACCTATTCTATAGCTTCCGGAGCAATGTCCGTAGAACAACTTGAATTTTCTGATCCAGTATGTGCAAATTATAATTGGCACTTGGGGAGGGGGGGGGGGGGGGGGGGGGGTAAAGGGGTATATGTCCTAAATCAAAGAATTATGGTAAACTAAGTTTAAAGTTTTAATATTTCCGTTTGAATAACGGTTTTTATAAATACTCAAATTTTGTAAGGCTTAAATTACTTATATCCCTTTTTCCCATTACTTATATCTCTTTTCCCAGGAGTACAAAATGAGTTTAGAAGTACCGCGGCAGATTTAAGTCAATTTTGAATATTTTAGACTTATATCCCTTTACCCTTTCAAGTGACAATTATAAATCTCTTCTAGACTCTGTCTTTCACTACATTCAGTAGGAAGTAAATTTTCACTAAAAAGAATTATAAAAGATTTACAATATAATCATTCTATAAGTATATTTTATTTCATTGCTAATTGTCACAAGATACAAGAAACTCTTTGGAGTAGTTTATATTTTCATAAAATGTAAGATTTATTTTACTTTGTCAAGGAGGATACAATATAGAATTAATTTTTTGAATTTAATCTTTGAGTTTAAAATGTATGAATAATTTGTATTAGGTATTGTGTTACATAATATTGTTATAACTTAACGGACCAAGTTGAAAATTGAATAAAATAGAAATCCAGCTTTAAATTCGTCTTTCCCGGCAGAATTCATAACAAAATTATAATTTATAAAATGTTTCCAATATATTTTAGTGTTTTGATTCCAAATTTCCATTGCTTCGGTTTAAAGGAAACCTGCGTAAAAAATTACTAATAATATTCTACAATTTAGGTGTATCCCTATGTTTTTTATTTACTTACCTTACTTACCTCTGAAACGACGTGGAACTTCTCCTAATGTATGTTTTAGGGCAAACATATATTGAATAGTAATTTTTACTTTCCTATCTGTATACAGATATAAGGAAAGTATAGGAATCATGATTTTTTTCGACCTCGAGTTTTCGACGGATTTTTACGTTTTGAGGTCCCCTAAATCCGTTTTGACTATTTTCGCGATGATGTCTGTGTGTGTGTGTGTGTGTCTGTGTGTGTGTGTGTGTGTGTGTGTGTGTGTGTGTGTGTGTGTGTGTGTGTGTGTGTGTGTGTGTGTGTGTGTGTGTGTGTGTGTGTGTGTGTGTGTGTCTGTATAACGCATAACTCATGAACCGATACACGGAAAAACACCAAATTTCAAACTTAAGCTTTGTTCCAACGTTTAATGAGCTGATTAGATTTTGGGCAGAGTCGGAACATCTGGGGGGGTACTTTATAGGTGGTCATTTTTATATTTTATGGAATATATCTGTTATTTACGTTTGGGGAAGAAAATTCTTCAAATAAAAGTTACTTCTTATTTTATTATCTATAATTTTTGTTCTATACAAAATTTTCCTAAAATGGTCCGTATTCGCGAAATTTGACAAAATGTAAAAAAATATTTTTTTTTATAAAAATTGTTCAAACAAAAGTTGTTTGTATTATAATTCTCTATAATTTTTATCCTATAGATAATTTCTCTAAAATGGACCGTATTCGAGATATTTAAGATAATGTGTAAATTTCGAAATTTGAAGAAAACTCAAAAATGGATAAAGAAAAAAACATTAAATTTTAAACTTAAGTTTTATTTCGGCCTGACGTGAAATGATTAGATTTTGGACAAAGTCGGAACATCTGGGGGGGTACTTTATGGGAGGCCGTTTTTATATTTTATAGAATATATCTGTTATTTATGTTTGAAGAAAAAAATTGTTCCAATAAAAGTTACTTCTAATATTATTATCTATAATTTTTGCTTTATGTAAAAATTTCCTGAAATGGTCCGTATTCGAAAAATTTGACAAAATGTGCAAAATTCTGATTTTTATGAAAATTGTTGAAATAAAAGTTGTTTGCGATATCGATCTCTATAATATTTGTTCATACATGATTTTTTTAAAATGGACCGTAATGGAAAAATTGTAGGAAAAGTGCTAAATTTAAATTTTTCAGTATTTTCATTTTCAATGAATA